AGTTCCTGTTTTTTTCAATGTTTTATATTTTAGGATATTTTTTGCTAATTGTTTTTTATCTGCTTCTTCTTCTCATCAAGTTCAAAACATTTTTTTAAATAAAAATTAAAAAAAAAATAAAATAAAAATTCCGTAGCCAGCTCTGCAAAAATACTTAGAGGTCGAAGGAGGTTCGAACATAATGTACTCTGCGATATCTTCACAATTAGGGCCCTCTTCTCTAGAAGAGGACATGAATTTCAATTCCTAAAAATTGGGTTTAAAAAAATATTGTTAAAATAAAAAATCAAAATTTTTTCAATCAAAAGGTTCTCTGCGATCTCTTCACAAATTAGGACCCTCTTCTCTAGAAGAGGACCTGAACCTGACCCATATCCAATGGGTTTAAAAAAATATATATAAAAAAATAAAAAACTAAACATTATTTTCAATTCAAAATATTTTTTTATTTTTTAAAACAAATCATTAAAATTAGAAAATAAAATAAAATTTACAAAAAATAATGCCATTTACACACAATTCACAAAACTTATAATTACAGCAAAAAAATTAACACAATAAAAATTAATAGCACAAAAAAAAATTATTTATAAACAAAATTTACACAAAATTATAAAATAAAAATTATTGCAAAGTCAAAAAATTAAGGGATAAAGGACGCAAAGTGGGTTGGAACCTGAAGGTGGGAGGCTGGAGAGGCCTTCAATTTTTTTTTCAAACAAGAATACTGAGTATTCTTCTCGAGGAATGATCTCGAAGGCCTAGACCTGCCCTCCTTGGCAGCTCCATTTAAATTAACTACAAAAGGCACGAAATTACGCAAACTTAAAATTAGAAATTATTTTTTTTCAAAATTTTTAAAATCAAATACTTAAACGGAATTTTGGCTGGCGAAAATGTAGTAGCTAGGCCACTGGGGTGCGGGGCGTTATAATTAAAAATTATTATTAAAAAATATTTTTTAATATAAAATGTCTTTTAGAATTTTTATATTTATATGCAAGGTCGTTGGACATTCAAGAGAGATTCAAAGTTGAAAATTGGAAAAAAAATTCATTAATTATATTGACTGGCTTTTATGTTACAAAATTAAAATTAAAATGAATTTTTATTAATTAATGTAATAATAATTAAAATTAATTTTATTTAAAAAAAACAAATATTTTTTTAAGAACTTATTTAAGGACATTCAACACAGTTTTAAAAAAATTAATTAATTATTTTTTCTGGTTTTTTCGTTACTATTTTTTTCTTTCATTTTCTTTAAATATATTTTTTACTTTTCTTTTGTTGTTGTATTATTATTTTCTTGTTTTTTTTTATTTAAATATAATTTAATGCATAAACAGTCTTTTTTAGTTCACAATAACTTAAAAGAGACAAAGGACTAAACACTAAAATTAATTTACAATTATTTATTTAATTTATAATAATTATTTTTTTTAATTTTTAAATAATTATTTGTTAATATTATTTAAATTTAATTAAAATTAATTAATTTCTTTTTAAAAATATTCTGGAAAGTATAGCGAAGTTGTATTTGTTTTTCTTTACTAATTAGTGATATAAAAGCAGGCAGGGTATAGATTCAAATTGTTTTTTCTTATAATAATTATAATTAGACTTCAAAATGCAATAACAATTTTCTTAATTTAATTTTCTAAAAAAAATATTTAAATTTTTTTTCATGTATGGAAGTCATAATTTTCATGGTGTATAACAGTTATAAAAGTGTTATACATCAACAATATGACAACATTTGTGGTTGGTAGTAATTATTTTTAAGAAAAATAATGGATTTTGGGGATTTTTAGAAAACTGTTATACGGATCTTAGTGTATAACACTTATAAAAGTGTTATACATCAGCAATATGACAACATTTATGGTTGTTAGTAATTATTTTTATAATAAAATAATGGATTTTGGGGATTTTTAAGAAAACTGTTATACGGATCTTAGTGTATAACAGTTATAAAAGTGTTATACATCAACAATATGACAACACTTGTGGTTGTTAGTAATTAATTTTATAATAAAATAATGGATTTTGGGATTTTTTGCAAACTGTTATACGGATTTCAAAACTGTTATACTCAGAAAATGATATCAAATTGGTTTTATAATAACCTTAAAAATATTTTATTACATTTTGGTATGTTCTATGCCATTTTTTTCAAGCGTTCATCAATTTCTGAAAACTGTTATACGGCTGTGGAGACTGTGTTATACTCAGAAAATTAATGTTAAAAGAACATTAAATTGTTTATTGAATTAATTTATTACATTTGATAATGATTTGTGCATTTTTTTCAAATGGTACTCATTATTTTTGAAAACTGTTATACGACTTTGGGTACTGTTATACTCAAAAAAACCATGTAAAACTTACTTTAACATGTATTTTTTTAAATTTTGGAATGTTTTGTGTAATTTTTTTCACACCTAAATCAATGTTTTAAGAAACTGTTATACGGCTGTAGAAACTGTTATACTCAAAAAAAAAATTATATAAAACTTACTTTAAAATGTATTTCATAAAATGTTGGAATGTTTTGTGTAATTTTTTCACACCTAAATCAATGTTTTAAGAAACTGTTATACGGCTGTAGAAGCTGTTATACTCAGAAAATAATGTAAAAATAGCATTTTATATATATTTTTAATCAATTTATTACATTTGGTAATGTTTCGAGCATTTTTTTTTCAAATGGTACTCATTTGTTTGAAAACTGTTATATGGTTTTCGCAACTGTTATATTCCTGAAATAACGACAAATTGTCTTTATACTGCCTTAAGAATTAATTTCTTACATTTGGTAATGTTCTGCGCAATTTTTTCAACAGTTAATTCATTTTGTGAAAACTGTTATACTGTGTTGGCAAACTGTTATATTCCGAAAATAAACAAAATTTTGCATTACAATCCCCTAAAAATTAATTTATTACATTTAGACATGTTCTGTGCCATTTTTTTCAACAGTTACTTAATTTTTGAAAACTGTTATACCGTTTTGGGAAACTGTTATATTCGGAAAACCTATGAGAAATTAGTTTTTAATTCGTCAGAAATTGGTTAGCATGTTATTATTTCCCGTTAGTGATGTTTAGAACAGTTTTTTTTCCAATCTATATTCAATTTTTGTAAACTGTTATACTCAAGAAATTATTTTAAATTGATCAGAAGTTTGTGAAAAATCTTCAATTATTAGCATGTTATTAATTGTTGCCATACGTTATGGTGGGGATTATTTTTTCCGAAATAAACTAAATTTTTGTAAACTGTTATACTCAAGATATTGTTTAAATATTAGTTTTAAATTCTTATAAGTTTCAATTTAATGTCACATGCAAATTGTTAACGTTTTATTTACTATTTTCTAAAATTAAGTCAATTTTTGGAAACTGTTATACTCAGGAAGTATGTTAAAACGTATTCAAATTTTACTCAAACTATTTAAAATCTGTTGCGCTACATGAATTTATGTGAAGTAATGCAATATTTTTTGATTTCATTAAAATTTTGCAACTGTTATACTCAAGAAATAGTAAAAAAAATACTTTAAACTAGCCAATATTAGCTCTAGAATGCGTTACATATAATTATGTAATGTTTGGTATTAATTTCGAACAGTTTTTTACCAATTTTGGAAACTGTTATACTCAAGAAGTGGCAAGAAAATTGCTATAAATTACAAAATATACCATTAAATTGCGTTACATACAACTATGTAATGTTTGGTTTTAAATGTTAGCAATTTCAAATTCTTTTTGGAAACTGTTATACTCAAAAAATTAGTAAGAAAATTGCTATAAACTTCCAAAAATTATTTGAAATTACTTTGCGTATATTAATGTAATATTCTGTTTTAGTTTTTATTAATTTCTAACTAATTTTGGAAACTGTTATACTCAAGAAATTAGTAGGAAAATTGCTATAAACGTCCAAACATTATTTGAAAATGCTTTACGTATATTTATGTAATATTCTGGCTACTTTTTATACATTTCTCACTAATTTTGGAAACTGTTATACTCAAGAAATTAATAAGAAAACTGCTGTAAACTTCCAAAAAATATTTGAAATTACTTTGCGTATATTAATATGATATTCGGGCTACTTATTATACATTTCTCACTAATTTTGGAAACTGTTATACTCAAAAAATTAGTAAGAAAATTGTTATAAACTACCAAAATTAATTTTAAATTGCTTTACGAATAATTCTATCATTTTCAGTTTTACTTGTTATCATTTTCTCACAAATTTTGGAAACTGTTATACTCACAAAGTAATTTAAAAGGTTCCATTAAATTGTTTCTGTATTAAAAAATAGTATTTTCTACGCATATTTGTAAAGTAACGCGTTTAACTGTTATACTCGATCTGTTATAATATACGATATATTATAACAGTTTCCTTAGCTCAATTATTCTAAATAAATATTAATTATGATAATTCCTTAAGCTACTAGCACACGTTTCGAACTGTTATACAACTAATATATATAACACTATATAACACTTTTTAAGGTCTGGTGTTATAACTAATTTTCTATTATGACACATTTCCATCATTATTTTTAAACTGTTATACGAAATGTAGACCTTTCTAACATATTTTTTGTGTATAACAGTTTTGTAACTGTTATACTGGGTTCAAACAATTATTTTTTCGCTATTGAACCGTATTCAGCACCTTCAGTAACCATTTCCCCACAAGTATAACACTTTCCTAACTGTTATACAAGTCTGTATAACAGTTTTTTTTACAACTTCCATACATGAAAATTTTAACTTTCTCAATTTTCGTATAACTTAAAATTTATATAAACGATTTTTTCCTTTAGATGCTATGTGTTTCCCTCTATATTTTTGCCGAAGTTCGGGGATCCAAAAGGGTTGTATTTACGAAGCCTGGGCCATTTGAGTCAGTATTTCAAAACAGAAACCAAAAAAACCAAACCAAAACATGTTCTTTGCCATCTTTCGAAGTTAAATAATCTGTTATACAGACACCATCTGCAATGGCAACTAATTGGTATAGTTATCGAACGAACCCAAGTACTCCAATGCTGCGCGATAACAAAAATGATATTGATCCTGCAGAAGAAATTTTTTTTAAAAAAATCAATATTTTTTTGAAATAAATTAAATTTCCAAAAAATCTTACCTCTGTCTGAACCATGGCTGGTCGTTGAGCTCGCAGTATGCGTACAGTTTGAAAGACATCGAGTACACCTTCATATTGCATACGTTCGAGGACAATGCTTAGGGTAATAAATACTCCAGTACGTCCCACTCCAGCGCTACAGTGCACAGTTATTGGGCCATCTTGGCCAAATTGTTCCTTGGTCTTGTGCACCTGACCAATGAAATCGATAAAACCTTCACCCGACTTGGGTACACCCTGTTCGGGCCAATCGATAAACTGGAATTGGCGTACAGTACGCGATGAACCGTCACGGGCATCGGTGACCTGCGGGGAAGGCAGAATAATTTTTTAGTGTTTCGATTTTTTGTTGAGTTTTAATCAAACTTACCTTAAATTCCCTTAGTTTATATTGCGGCATATTATATTCAGCAATCGGGTCCACGACGTAGTATTGATAGCGTACCGAACGTTCATGAGGCCAATATTGATAGCATTTTTCCTGTAAAAAATAATATTAATAAAAGCATTGTATAACAGTTTTGATTTATTTTCGAAAAATAGAACTTTTATATTCTCATCGGAATTATTAACTTTGGCAATCCTTTCTAATAGGCTCCATTTCGCCCAACTACTCCATTTTCAGATTATTTGAAGTTCTGGGAACATAGTCCACACAATTCGAGATCTGTGACTCATAATAAGCTAAAAACCGCTGTACCAAAATTTACTGAATTTTAACTAATTTTGATGGCCCTATCACTTTTGATGAGGACACATAACGCCTAACTATCCGTTCAAGTTTCTTTTCCGATGTTATTTAGGTTCTGATCCCATTTTGCCCTCGGATCATTTGATGAACGATTCATGTGTTTTAAAACCCTATAACAAAAAATTTTATGATTTTCCGAAGAGGTCCCATAATCACCCTACTACTCAATTTGCACAATTTTTAAGTTGTTACAATAAGTTCCGCCTAACCCAGATATAAAATTCCCATTTGCATTAAGCGATCACTTAATTTACTGAAAATTATTTAATTTTGGTAAATTTTTAAGTGATGTCCCCAAATCACCCTACTATTCGAGTTGCATGCTTGCTTAGAAATTCTGGCCACATTGTCTACTTAAATCGGTTGTAAATTCTGCTTTTGGCAGCCGCATTAAGACCATTTTTCATTTACTGAAAATTATTGAATTTGGTCGACTTTTATGTGATGTCCCCATATTGCCCTACTAGTCGATTTTCCCGATTTTTTTTTTTAAATTCTGACCAAATCATCCGACCCACTCAAATATGATTTCCCATTTGAGATTCGTATTTATTGATCTTGGTCAATTTTAGGTGATATCCCCAAATCAACCTACTATTCGATTTTCATGCTTTTTAGAAGTTCTGGTCAACTTGTTCACCTAAATCGGTTATAAATTGAGATTTGGCAACCATATAAATCAAAACTCTTAATCATAGAGTTTGGTTCACTTTTTTGTGGAGTCCCAAATTGCCCTACTATTCAATTTCCCGATTTTCTTAAGTTCTGGCCAAATTATTCGATCAATTCGAATATGATTTCCCATTTCAGACTCGTATTGAGATAAAAAAGCTATGTACAAAAATTTATTGACTTTGGACAACTTTTTGGTGATGTCCCCAAATCACCCTACTCGTCGATTTTCATACTTTTTTATATGTTCTGGCCACTTTGTCTACCTAAATCGGTTGAAGATTCTGATTTGGCATTCGCATTAAGAACAATTTTTCTATATTGAAAATTATTGACTTTGGCCGACTTTTAGGTGATGTCTCCATAACGCCCTACTAATCGATTTTCGGATCTTTTTAAAATTTTGGCCAAAAATATCCGACAAACTCGAATATGATTTTCCAGTTGTGATTCGTATTGAGATAAGAAATCTACGTACAAAAATTTATTGATTTTGGTAAAATTTTTTGGTGATGTCCCCAAATCACCCTACTATTCGATTTTCAGGGTTTTTTAGAATTCCTGGTCACATCGTCTACCTAAAGCGGTTGAAAATGCTGATTTGGCAATCGCATTACGACATTTTTTTATTTACTGAAAATTATTGGCTTGGCTATATTGAAAATTATTGACTTTGGTCGACTTTTAGGTGATGTCCCCATAGTGCCCTACTAATCGATTTTGCGATATTTTTAAAATTTTGGCCAAAAGTATCCGACCAACTCGAATATGATTTCCCATTTGTGATTCGTATTGAGGTAAAAAGGCTATGTGCAAAAATTTATCGATTTTGGTAAATTGTTGAGGTGAGGTCCCCAAATCACCCTACTCTTCGATTTTCATGATCTTTTAGATGTTCTGGCCACTTTGTCTATCTAAATCGGTTGGAGATTCTGATTTGGCATTCGCATTAAGAACAATTCTTATATATTGAAAATTATTGACTTTGGCCGACTTTCAGGTGATGTCCCCATAATGCCCTATTAATTGATTTTCCGATCTTTTTAAAATTTTGGCCAAAAGTATCCGAGCAACTCGAATATGATTTCTCATTTGTGATTCGTATTGAGATACATAAGCTATGTATACAAATTTATTGATTTTAGTCAACTTTTAAGCGATGTCCCCAAATCACCCTACTGTTCCATTTTTTGGTTTTTTAGACGATCTGGCCAGATTGTCTATCGATATCGGCTGTAAATTAGAATTTTATTTACTGAAAATTATAGACTTTGGCCAACTTTAAGGCAAAGTCCCCAAATTGCCGTAGTAATAGATTTGGGGCCTTTTGAAGTTCTGGCCACATGATTCGACCAATGCGGTAATGGTTTCGCATTCGCGAGAAATAAAAACCCTATGTACAAAAAATTATTTATTTTCGTCCATTTTTCCCAGAGTCTCCATATCACCCTACTATTAGATTTTCAGATATTTCAAAAGTTTTAGCTACATTATCAGATCAACTTGGTTATGATTTCCCATTTGAGACTCTTATTGAGATAAAACCCCTATGTACAAAATGTTTATGGATTTTGGTCAGCTTTTGCGACAGCCTCATTTTACCCTACTACTCAATTTTCCCAATTTTTGAAGTTCTGACCACATTGTCAACCTAAATCCGAATTATATTGAGATTTGCCTTTCGCATTAAGAATAACTTTTAATTGCAGAAAATTTTCATGAATTTTGGCAATTTTTTGTTAAAGTCCTTATATTGCCCTACTTCAAAATTTCGGGATTTTAAAGGGTTCTGACCACATTTTCGGCGTGAATCGTTTCTAATTCCTCATTTTGGCATTTGTATTGAGCAAAACATTAATTTGGAAAAAAAATATTACATTTGTTCCACATGGCCCCATATTCACCCTACTAATCGAACTGTGGATTTTTGAAGTTCTAGTCACAAATCCTATAAAATTTAAATTTTCGTTGTCGTTTTGAGTACTAAACATCAATACAGACAGTTTTTAAACTACTTTTTGTTGAGTTCCCAAATAACCCTACTAGTCGATTTTTGGGTTCTAAAGGGTCGGGATCATATTTTTAAATCAAGGTTGTTAAATTTCAAATTTGTGATTGTCATGGAGTAAAAAAAAATGATTACAAACATTTATTGATTTTGGAACACTTGTCGTAGAGGTCACCATATCACCCTACTACCCGATTTTCGGAATTTTTGAAGTTCTGTCCACATTTTCCACTTGAATCGGCATTTGGAATCGGAAATAATTCCGAATTTGAGATATTGAGTTAAAAACGTGTTTATAAATACATACATTATGGTTATGGTAATCACTCTACTATTCCAATTTGGCGGAATTTTTTGAGGTTCTGACGGAAATTTTCGTTAAGATGTGGTATAATCAGTGATTCATGGCGGGTTAAATAAAATTATGTATTTTTGACTATTTTTTGACGTAAAAACTTTATAAATGAAGATTCTATTGATTTTGGTCAATATCGTCCCTATTTCGCCCCACTCCTCGATTTCCGGTTTGGTGAAGCTTTTGCCACATTTAGAATCCATATCGGATATAGTATTGCATTTTGGGATTCGTCTGAAGCTAAAAATATATGTACCGAAATTTTATGGTATTTGGTCTATTGACTCGCCCTACTACTCGACTTTCTAATTTGATGTTGTCCCATATCACCCTACTCTTAGATTTTCGGTTTGGTGAAGTTCTGACCACCTCTTACTCCCATATTTTGCATTTTGGGAGCCGTCTGGAGTTAAAAATATCTGTACTAACATTTATGGTACTTGTCCCACTGGCCCCATATCACCCTACTACTCCATATTTCAATTATTTAAAGTTCTGGCCTACTTGTCCACCCAAAACGGATCTAATACCGCATTTGGGGTTGGTAATGGCCTAAAAACAGCTACACCAAAATTTATTGCATTTGACCGATTTTTGGGTGAGGTTCTCAAATCGTCCTACTACTCAATTTTAAGGTCCTGCTCAGATTTCCTGCCCATGTAGAATATAATTTTGCACTCTGTGAGTTGTTCTGAGCTAAAAACTTCTGCACCAATATGTATTGCATTTTATAACATTTTGAGCGATGTCCACATATCAACCTACACCCCACTTGGGGGGTTTTAAAGGTCCAGATAATATATTCTAACGTGTATGTTACCGTTCTTTTTTGTGATATATGAAATTTTCAAACTTACCCTTCCCATTTCCTTGAGTTTCGTAAGCATCACCACAATAGTCGAGTTATGTTCCCATAGCATGCGCCAGAAATCTTCTGCGGTATCCTGCAGGGGGCCCTGTGCCGCAATATATGCCGAACGATAACGATAACCTTCAATAAAACTGGCATTGATATAATCACTACCCTCCACCCCATGTATGGGTGTTAGATAGACCCGTGATGACTCGTATGGCAAAATATGGACCAGACGATTTTTATGTTTATTGCAGGGTAAATTGGCCGTAACAAATTTCGATGAGTCGACTTTAACGTTGGAGAGTTTCTTAAATTCAATTTCCATGCCGGTAATACTCTCTCCTGGCTCTGTGGTCAACAACTTTTGCAAATGGGTATGCAAGTTGCGGGCTGGGACCTCAGTATTACCACAAATTATGGCCTCCAATATGGCATCGTGTATGAAAATGTATTGATCCTCGGTTTGGACCATGTAATTACGTTGGGCCCGAAGACAGGTGACATGACCATAGATATCCACGATTTTTTCATGTTTCATACGTTCCAGCATAGAGTCAATGACAATGTAGCAGCCGGTACGACCCACCCCAGCGGAACAGTGAACCACAACTGGGCCGGAATCGGGTGGAGTAAGAGCACGACATCTACGCAAGAATTGCAAGAAAGGTGCAGGATGATCGGGTACTCCATGATCCGGCCAGGCTGTAAATTGCAATTGTTTCAGTTCACGGCGTTCGTTAAAGCCTTGACGACATAACTGGAAGGTCCTGATACTATAGGTGGCCAACTCCTGGGTTTCCGTGATGGTTACAAACATCTGACCATAGGTCTCAGTGCCCCGTGTTGGCCAATATTGATCACACTTAATGCGTGTCCTCTCCTCTAGCCGGGTCATCATAACAATTGTGGTGGTCTTCAATTCCCAACACATACGCCAAAAATCGGAAATGGTGTCCTGGAGAGGTCCTTGCGTGGCCACATAGGCATTATGTTTCCTATACCCGTCACAATAATTGGCATTTATATAGTCCGAACCCACCACCCCATCCATGAGGGGTAAGATGACTCTCGAATGATCATAGGCGGTGACATTGGCATAGCGATTCTTGGGCTTGTTATATTCATAATTGGAGTTGTCCCAGGTGAATTGCTGACCGGGTTCAATGCTTTCATATTCCTGAGAGAATTTCTGATTGTCATTTGCCTTAAGGCGTTCTACGTGATTGGCAAATTCCGATATAGGTATGGGTGGATGGGAAATCATGCCTGGGGTTTGGAAGTTAAGGCGGCGCATATCAACCGGATCGCTGGGTGTGGGTCCGGCACCCAAATCGGCGGCCATTAAGGGCCGGGTGACAGCTGCCTGATCGGGAGTCTTACAAGGTTGTCTCCTCCTCTTGATAATGTAAATAATGATGAAGGTGGTGGACAATATCAGGGCAGCCAGGACGGGTAGGATCACCCACATCATGCCGGGTTCATCTTTATTACGATTCACCGAGACTTCAGGTTCCGATGGCCAATTGGGATCAGGACGATGTGGTCGTTCACCCGGAGGAGCTTCACGCATATCCAAGGAGAGGAATTCCGAAAATGGACTTGAGGTATATAAATGTTTTTGCGGTGTATCCACGACAGCTCTCACGAAGATGCGGTAACGCTTCTCCCGTTCCAATTTACGATTTGTAAAATTATGATAATCATCTCCGGAACCCAGGTGGAAGGTGAAGGGTATAGATCTTTGCGGGAACTTGGCTGCAATGTATGGGGCATTGGGGCGTTCTGGCTTATTTCGACCCGGCAATAAATCTTCCGTCAAGAATTGATCAGGATTCTTATGCAAATTCGATTTATCTTCCGGCACCACCACCAAATAGTAATGGGAAATGGGACCATATTCCTCGGAAGCCTGTGGCAAAATTACCAAAATTTCTTCCCCATTGACGACACCATAGAAATCCGGTTTTACCATAGGTTGTGGGGCAGCCATCTGCGTGGTCACTGTGATCTTTGTGGGAGGACGATATGAATAATCACTGGGCATTGCACTGACATTAACATTATAGGTGGTAAAGGGGCTCAGCTCATTGATAGTATGACTCTTGGCATAGGCCTTCAGGATAATTTCCCGCTTCTGGACAATTTGGGTTTGTGAAAAACCTTGAGAGTCCACAAAGACCTTCATGGCATCATAGGAGATTTTATAGCTAACCGGATTAAGACGTATCGGTGGTGACCAGCTCAAAGTCATGGAGTGAGTCGTGACATCATGGGCCCTTAAATTCAGCGGGACATCTTCAGGCTTAATCTTAACGTGGACCTTTTCGCTTAAACGCCCTAGGCCGGTTTGGAATCTTGCCGCTATGGCCACAGTATATTGGGCGAACTTTTCCAAATTTACCAAATCCGCCGATTCCGTGAGGCCCACAGTTTTACTTTGCCATTCATCGAGATCATCCACGGCCGCCATGGTATAGAAAATCTTATAACCCAATAATTTATTACGCGTTGGTACCGGTTCCCACCATATTTCCGCCGTTTGTTCCGACGTGGCCACAGCCTGCACGGACATTGGTGCTCTACCCATATCCCGTTCCGTTTCAATTAAAATCTTCTCACTGAAAGGACCACCTCCCTGCTTGGTGTAGGCCCTAATACGGAAGATATATTCGGTGTTCTCCTCCAAGTTCGTGTACACCACTTTATTCAGGGTCATATTACGTTCCGAACCCAGTCCATGATCAATCTTCTTATGGAACTGGACATCATAACGGGTGATAATACCATTACGATGTTCACGAATTGGTGGCTCCCAGGTAATGCAGACAACATCAGGAGTTTGGAAGCGTATCGTGATATTTGCCGGAGGACCACTGGGTGCTCCCTCTGGAGTCTGGAAGATTTTGACGGTCTCTTGGCCAATACCAATGTGATTACTGCCAGCAACACGGAATTCATATTCAACACCACGTTCAAGATCCTTAAAGGGTTTCTTGGTTTCATGTGGTCCCATCAACAACTCCTTGAGAGGGTGATCCTTAATACCCCATTTCAAACGATAACCACGTAGCTCGCCATAGGTCTGAGCTGGTCTTTCCCATTCCAATTCAATTGAGACCGTGGGATCACGTTCCATAATTTTCAAGCTAACTGTAGGGCGAACGGGTACACCTCCAGGGGTCTTTACAATAACTGCAGGACTGCGATCACCATCACCTTTCCGTGTCAGGGCAGCCACTTGTATGGAATATTTGGTATCGGGTTGTAAATCGGTTACATTATATTCCAAGGCATCGACCACATCGTATTTCAGGGGTTCATTCAGGAAACCTTTGCCCTGGAAGAAGAGGAAAATGGATTAAAATTAGAAACTGGTGCATACTTTTAGGCTGATATTTTTTAACATCGATTTTCAAGGTCTTCATTAAGGCGTGGATTTTTTAAAATTAATTTTTCATGGCCTACTTTCAGGAGTGGATTTTATTTTAAATTAATTTTTCATGGCCTACTTTTAGGCATTGATTTTTAAATCAATTTTTCAAAGCCTACATTTAGGCGTGGATTTTAAATTAATTTTTTATGGCCTACTTTTAGGCGTGGATTTTATTTTAAATTAATTTTTATGGCCTACTTTTAGGCGTGGATTTTATTTTAAATTAATTTTTATGGCCTACTTTTAGGCGTGGATTTTATTTTAATTTTCTATGGCCTACTTTTAGGCGTAGATTTTATTTTAAATTAATTTTTCATGGCCTACTTTTAGGCGTGGATTTTATTTTAAATTATTTTTTATGGCCTACTTTTGGGCGTGGATTTTTTTATACCCTCCACCATAGTATGGAGGGTATATTAATTTTGTCATTCCGTTTCAAAACTTATCGAACTATTCATTTCCGACCCTATAAAGTATATATATTCTGGATCAGGGTAAAATTCTAAGACGATCTACCACTGTACGTCCGTCCGCCCGGCTGTAATTTAGTATTTTGAGTTTTTATTAGGTTCCAAAACTCTCCACAAAAAATTAAATATAGGTCCATTTTTTCGGATATCCCCCATATAAGGATAACCCCCAATTTCCGGTATTTTGGGGTTCTTGAGAGCGTTTGTCAACCGAATACGCTGAAATTGGGTACATTGGGTTCTTATGGGGTACCAAATATCTCTATTAAAAATTATACATATCGGCCCACTTTTTCTGGTAGCCCCCATATAAGGGCACCGCCCAATTTTCGGTATTTTGAGGTTCTTGAGCGCGATTTTCAACCGAATTCGCTGAAATTTGGTACATTGGGTTCTTATTGGGTACCAAATACCTCTATTAAAAATTATAAATATCGGTCCACTTTTTCTGGTAGCCCCCATATAAGGGCACCCAAAATTTTCGGTATTTTGAGGTTCTTGAGCGCACTTTTCAACCGAATTCGCTGAAATTTGGTATATTGGGTTCTTATTGGGTCCCAAATAACTCTAATAAAAATTATAAATATCGTCCCACTTTTTCTGGTAGCCCCCATATAAGGGCACCCCCAATTTTCGGTAGTTTGAGGTTCTTGAGCGGGATTTTCAACCGAATTCGCTGAAATTTGCTACATTGGGTTCTTATTGGGTACTACATGTCTCCACAAAAAAATTATAAATATCGGTCCACTTTTTCTGGTAGCCCCCATATAACGGAACCCCTCAATATTCAGTATTTTGGGGTTCTTGAGCGCGTTTTTCAACCGAATTCGCTGAAATTTGGTACATTGGGTTCTTATTGGGTACAAAATATCTCTACTAAAAATTATGAATATCAGCCCACTTTTTCTGGTAGCCCCCATATAAGGGTACCCCCAAATTTTCGGTATTTTGAGGTTCTTGAGCGCGATTTCAACCGAATTCGCTAAAATTTGGTACATTGGGTTCTTATTGGGTACTAAATGTCTCTATTAAAAATTATAAATATCAGTCCAATTTTTCATTTCAAGTACCTGTCAGTATACTTGTGGTGGAGAGTATCCAAAAAGTTCGGCCCGGCGGAACTTAACGCTTTTTCACTTGTTTATATTGAAATAGTTATCGAATTTGTTCCGCGTTTTGGTTTTATTTTTAAGACTCTGTTGCAATCATTTCAAAAAAAAAAACTAGAACGTAAGGTTCGATAATGAAGTATATATGAACTATAACCCGCATTTAAGCCTAGCCCATCTGTGGGAGGTACCAGATGCAGCGGACCGATATTCCCCATCTTCGACCTTCAACTAAGTTTGGAAGAAATAATAAGATGGGTAAAGTTTGGATGAAAACAAATTTGGTCCAAAGAAACATGGGACCTAAAACCCATATATTTCGATGAGGCTCATTTTCACCGTCTCAGAGTGTAATTATTATACCCTCAGCCTCATTAGCCATAAGGCTGAGGGTATAATATCCATTAAAAATTAAAAATTTCTGAAATTTTGTAGAAATTTCCTCTTTTTGTTATTTTTCCTATATTTTCATTACAAGTAGCTGTTAGTATATCTATGGTGGAGGGTATCCGGCCGAACTTTTTCACTTGTTCAAAAATAAATTTCTCAAATTATTCTTACCTCATCTCTAACTTCCTGTACATGAATGTGATAGCCACGAATGATACCATTCCGATCTTTTTCCAATGGCGGCTTCCAGCTGACATGAATCGAGGTGGAATTTAATGGAGTAGCCTTAACTTCTTGTGGATCTCCAGGCACTAAACGGCGAAAAATATGCAACAAAATATTAGTATGCAAATAAAAATAATGGGAAACACATACACACATACTTATAGTACCTATAATATAGCCGATATAATTTAATACTAATACATATGTAAATACGCTTAAGTCTATATGGGTGATCGGATTTTGTCTACAATATACGGATTACTAAAAATACAGGCTTAGATTAGGATATTTAACTAATTTTTTTATACATAAATATAGATTTTATTTTATATAATACTGCTTATAACTATATGATTATATAAAATTTAAAAAAAAAAACATTATCACATGGCAATGATGAATTTTTTTTTATTTAAAAAATAATTGATGCAGATTTTGATTTTTTTTTTCAATTTATTGTTTTTCAATATTTTGCTCAAAAAACAAAATGGTTTCATGTGCTCGACATAAAAAAAATAAATAAAACATTCCAAAATTCTTTTTTTTTGTTATGCTCAAAAAATATTTTATAACAAAAATGAGTTCGAAAAAAAATTAAGGTTTATGCAAAAAATATTTTTTTTTGTGCTAAGGAAAAAATTAGAGTTCCTTTTTTTTTGGATTTTTTTATATAGATGGAAGAATAGATAAAAAGAGAATGTAGTTGATATATAGATATATATTTTTTATTTTTATATAAGAAATATGTTTCAAAAATAAATACATATTTATTTTATATATAATTTTTTATTATTCAAAAAAATATAGAAAACAGAAAAAAGATATAGTGTGTGTGTGTAGCAGTGAAGTTCAGCAAATATATTTGTTAAAAAAAATCTACGGAAACCTGGTGACAGATACAGACAGCATGCTGAGAAGCTGAAAGGAGCATTTCTGGTATCAAATAGTAGTGAAGAGGATATCCCAGAACCAATAATAGATGACGGTATAAAGTGTACACCACCTAGCCACGATGAACTTAGAATAGCAATCAATCGGCTGAAGAATAAAAAAAAAGCAGCAGGTGCCGTTGGGTTACAAGCCGAACTATTCAACACTGGTGGTCAGATGCTGGTAAGGAGCATGCATCAGCTGATTAGTACAATTTGGCTAGGAGATAACACGATCGAGTAATATAAAGCCGCAATCGACAGCCCTATCCGTTCAGAGGTGTTTAAAACCATGTCTACGTTCGGCATTCCTGCAAAATTAATACGGCTACGCAGGATAACTTTAACTGGCACAAGATCAGCAGTTAAAGTCGGAACGGACCTCTCGGAGCCCAATGATTGGAACCTCAGCATCCTGTGTCCCGTGCCCAAAAAGAAGACAAGACGATATGTACCAACTAAAGAGGAATAAGTCTCCTTCCCATCGCATATAAAATGCTATCCAGCGTACTGTGTGTGAACGACTGAAGCCAATGGTCAATGACATTATTGCACCATACCAATGTGGTTTCAGACCTGGCAAATCCACCATTGAGCAGAATGCATGCCCAATGATTGGAACCTCAGCAACTTGTGTCGCGTGCGCAAAAAAGGAGTCTCCTTCCCATCGCATATAAAGTGTTATCCAGCGTACTGTGTGTGAACGACTGAAGCTAATGGTCAGTGACATTATAGGACCATAACAATGCGGCTTCAGACCTGGCAAATCCACCATTGAGCAGATTCTCACTCTGTGCCAAATCCTGGAAAAACCGACGAAAAGCACATCGACACATTCCACCTATTCGTCGACTATAAAGCCGCATTCGACAGCCCTATCCGTTCAGAGGTATATGAAGCCATGTCTGCGTTTGGCATTCCTGCAAAGTTAATACGGCTATGCAGGATAACTTTAACTGGCACAAGATCAGCAGTTAAAGTCGGAAAGGACCTCTCGGAACCCTCTAAAATACCGAACGAGGATTCACACAAGGTGATAGTTTGTCGTGTGACTTTTTCACATCCTGAAGGCAATGAAGGCCTGGCAAATTCACCATTGACCAGTTTTTCACTCTGCGCCAAATCCTGGTGAAAAAAACCCACGAAAAACACATCGACATATACCACCTATTCGTCGACAGTAAATCCGCATTCGGCAGTCCTATCAACAGTGAGATCGGTAAAAGCTACCTTTGAACAAATCGAGAAGGAGTCTGCCATTGTGGGTCTGGCAGTAAAGGGCAAGAAGACCATGCTGTTGATACCATCAGCGCAAGACGTCCAGTACACTCGGACCAACTGTGGAACTTAAGAACTACAGCTTCGATGTAGTCAAAGAGTTCATATACCTTGGTACTGCCATAAACAAAACGAATGACATCAGTTTTGAAATTCGGAGAAGGTTAATGTTGGCCAACAGATGCTACTATGGTCTGAGCAGACCACTCAAAAGGTGGGAGGGGGCCTCCTGCCACATCAAACTCACACTCTACAAGACGCTGATACTACCAGCCGTGCTGTTATATGGATCTGAAGCATGGGCACTTGTGGAAGCAGATGAGACAGATCTTGGAGTGTTTGAGAGAAAAATTCTCCGAAAGATCTACTTGAGAACTACAGCATCGAGTTAGTCACATATTATATATACCTTGGTACCGCCATAAACAAAACGAATGACATCAGTTTTGAAATTCGGAGAAGGAGAATGATGGTCAATCGATGCTACCATGGTCTGAGCAAACAACTCAAAAGCAAGACCACCTCCCGCCAGACCAAACTCACACTCTACAAGACGCTGATACTACCAGTCGTGCTGTTATATGGATCTGAAGCATTGGGTACTTGCGCCAGCAGATGAGACAGCTCTTGGAGTGTTTGAGAGAAAATTCTCCGATAGATCTATGGGCCGATCTGCGTTGACGGTGAATATCGCCGTTGTAGCAGCGAGCTGTACTAGCTATTCTCGGACATTGACATTGTTAGACATATTGAGCTGCAGCGACTACGTTGGCTAGGTCATGTTGTGAGAATGGATGAAGATGCCCCAGCCCAGAAGGCATATAAAAGCGAACCAGATGATGATTCACGCAGAAGGGAAAAAAATTCTCCGTCAAGGCCACAAATAAGATGGAAAGACCAAGTGGAGGACAACATTGCCGAAAATGGTCTTTCAAATTGGAAAAACTGCGGAAAAGGCCGACGCGCCCGGAAATCTTTTTTTCGGCTCGGCTTATGAAACGAAAGTTCTGTCACAAGCCAGCTATGTAAGTAGGTAGTAATCTACGGCTTTGATAGAGCCTTGAAAATATGTTTAAAAAATCTACAGCCTTTGTTGAGCCTTGAAAAATATTTATATAAATCTATAGGGAGGAATAATACCTGCATTTCTTCCATAGGAAGCAGAATACTTGCAGCTCTACCACAGGAAGAAGAAAACCTGCAGCGCTTCCGCAGGAAAAAGAATACCTGCAGTTCTGCTGCAGACTCCTGCAGCTCTTCCACAGGAAGAGAAATTCCTGCAGCTCTTTCAAAGGAAGAAAAATAACTGCAGCTCTTCCATAGGAAGAAGAATACATGCAGCTATTTTACAGGAAGAAGACTACGTGCATCTCTCGTATATTATGAAGAATACCTCTAGGTCTTCCTTAGGAATAAGAATACCAACAGTTCTTCCATAGGAAGAGGAATAACTGCAGCTCTTCCACAGGAAGAAGAATACTTGTTGCTCTGCTATAGGAGTATGGATACCTTCAGCTCTTCTATAATATAAAGAATACCTCCAGAACATCTTTAGGAAGAGGAATTCCTGCAGCTCCTTCAAAGGAAAAATAATACCCGCAGCTCTTCCTTAGGTAGAAGAATACCAGCAGCTCTCCCAACAAATAGGAATACCTGCAGCTCTTCCACAGGAGGAAGAATACTTGTTGCTCTGCTATAGAAGTAAGAATACCTCCAGCTCTCCTATAACAAGAAGAATACCTCCAAAACATCTTTAGGAAGAGGAATTCCTGCAGCTCTTCCACAGGAAAAATAATACATGCAGCTCTCATATAGAAAGAAGAATACCAACAGTTCTTCCATAGGAAGAGGAATACCTGCATCTCTTCCACAGGAAGAAGAATACTTGTTGCTCTGCCATAGGAGTAAGAATACCTCCAACTCTCCTATAACAAGAAGAATACCTCCAGGTCTTCCTTTAGAAGAAGAATACCAGCAGGCATTCCACAGGAAGAGAAACAGGAATAACCCTTGAAAAAAACCTCAAATTAAAACCCTTAAAAAATCAATGCCTATAACTTTGGCTAGAAAATTAATTTTTGACAACCTACTCCTCTTGTAGACCTTGAAAAAAATATTTTTAAAAATCCACTTCCGTTTTATTTAATATTTACATGTATAGCAGGTGGCGTATAAGTGGTGACACCACTCATACGCACCATATTACACAATTATTAGTAATCATACGCTCCCTGGCCATGATTGACCATGGCAATCTCGATTATCTTACTCAAAAGTAAAGTTTTCAGAATCCCATTTGCTGAACCCTGTGTTGTAGTTTTTGTGTTTGTTTTAAAATAAAAAAAATAATTGTTCTGCCTCTCGGCTAAACCAAAAAAATCATAAAACATTCCATTTTAAAAAAATTGTTTTTCTAAAATTATTCAGGTTTTTTTTTTCATTTCACTCCAAAAAATACTCACTGTTTTTCTCTACGATTATGCATTTATATATATTTTTTTGTCATAATATTATTTATTTTATTTTGGTGTGTGTGTGTGTTAAAAAAATTTTCCAAAAACATATTTTTTTTGTTGAACGCACACACACATTTCCATCCATAACAATAATACAGTGACATATGTGCGAGTGATTTTTTTTTTATTATATATATATGGTGCCCAGGTGCAGTTGGTGGTGATATATAGAAAAAAATTAGTTTCCAAAAAAACATTCATCCAAAAAAATACACGCACGCAGACACACACAAAATTCAAAAAAACGTGTGAATTTGTCGTGTGAACAAAAACACATTCGATGCGAGTGGCCAGAAGCGGATTAGATGGAAATAAAAGAACAAAAACACAGATTTTTTGGGAATTTTTATTAATTATTTCACA